GGCAGCCGGAGGGGCTGCGCCGGTGGTAAGCAGGCGATGCCCGCCTTGTTCCGCCCTGCATGATGTTCTCATTGCTCTATTCCTTTAACCCCTGCCGCTGCCTTCCTGTCCCCTAGCCCAGGGCCAGACTCCACCTTCCCTCTCCTTTCGCTGGGACCCCTGTCCAAGCCTGGGCCTCTGTCCATCCGTATGGCCTTCTGGAAAGCTGGTCCCTAGGCTTTGCATGGTGGCTTCACAGCAGCCCCTGCCACTTCAAAGGTCAGGAGGTGCCCCTCTTCATGCCATCACTGTGAGGTTGGGAGGCGCTGGCCAGGGAGTCCTGCTCTGGCGCTGGTCAAGGGGCAGAAGTCCAGCGTCCCAGCGCCCCTCCTGCAGTTTGCTGGTGCCGAGTACTAGAAGCATGTATCTAGACAAGCCGCAAAGCACATGACCATGGGCAGTTGTCCAGCTTCTCTTTTTCTGGACTGTAGAATGGGGCTGTCTGTGTAGTAAAGGCGCTGAGATGTGGGCAGGACTGCTCCAACCTGAGCCCTGCCCTACGCTCCAGCACCTCAATTCTGCATCCTGTGCTCTGCAGCTCAAGGCTGTGGGATGTGCTCCTGGCAGACCTGCCATCACCATGGGGAGAGGGCTGCAGAGCAGGAGCGCACTGTGAAGTCTGAGCCAGGGTCTGTGTCCTATTTACAGATGGGAAAACTGAGATACCAGACCTTCAACGAGCGGGTGGGGTTCAGTGGCAGAGAACATGAGATCGTCCCATCTTCTGTGTTATCCTATTCTCTTAGCCTGGGTTCCCAGGTGGCACATAAGAAATCTTTAATCCCTCAGAAAGGGACTATGGACCTGTGGTCACTCCTTCCCCAGAATCAGGGCCTCTTGGAGGGAGATGGCCTGCTGTACAGAGTCCAGGCAGCGTCTCCCCTCCCCCTCCAGCCAGGACCCTTGAGCTCTCTACTGGCCTGTGGGCTCCCTGGGTGGAGTGCGGTGTTACTAGGGCTCCTGTGTCTCTGAAACACCAGCACCTTGCGCAGAGCTGTTTGCCCAGAAAGTGAAAGAAGTCTATAAGCAGCATCTTGCTCCACAGCCCTTGCTCTGGCAAAGGCCCAGCCCATCTACCATGAACCTCTTGCAGGTCCAGAACAATGACAGAGTGGAGAGGTTCCACCACCCCAAACCTCAGGGCCAGAAGTGTGTGGAATTCTAGACCTTCTTTGTATAGGACACACTTTTTTGGTATAGGTTATGGGGAGTTTGGAAATCTGATACATTAATGGGGATGGTTGGAAGCAGGGGATGGACATGCTCAAAGTGCTAGGCAGGACTTCTGAGTATTATACTCATCAGTCGAGAGGCGATTGGAGGAAATCCTGTCCCAGAGGCCCAGAGCTTTGCAGAGTGGTTCAGTTGGTCAGTCAAATGTGACACTGGGATATTTAACACATACTGACTCATAGTACTGACCTAGTGGGGACAGAGATGGAGATAGGAATCTTCCCTGGGACTCCAATGGGAGAGGAGCTCCAGGCAGCCCTGTGTCCGGAGGTTGAACTTGGGCTTGAGGGGGAGTATATGGAAGGTCAGGGGCATAGGTTGGATAAAGTGTGAGAGATACATGTGTGCAATAATACTACTAATTTTTTTCAGCACTGGGGATTGAACACAAGGTCTTTATACTGAGGAACATCTCCAGTCCTTTTCTTTTATATTTTTTTAACATTTTGAGACAGGATCTCACCAAGTTGCTAAATTGCCAACTTGCCCAGGCTGGCCTTAAATTAGTAATCCTCTTGCCTCAGCCTACCAGTGTGCTGGGATTACAAGGATGTGCCCCATACGTGGCTAAGGGTTTTAAAACAATTCTGGAGCTAGGAGACAAAATCATGAGGCATACTATGTAAATAAGATCTTTTTTGTAAGGTAAGTATTTTTCAAACATTACTTACAGAAATGCTCATGGGTTAGAGTAGCACTTAACAGAGAACCAGTATAGAGCTGGTGTTATAAATAAAGATAGGAGCCACTCTATGGAAAGATGTAGTCCAGGGCAGCCCTGGCCAGCATCTTCAGTGTCTGAGGCTGGCCTGAGTCTCTTGGCCTGGGTAAGGGAGCTGGGGTCTGTTCCTTTCCCCCAGGACTCATCTATGACTGTGAGTCCAGGGGAAATCTTCACACTCCTCTGCAGACAAATAGAGGCTGTACTCTGGTTGGGAGCTGTGCTGGGTGGCAGCACCCATGGTTCAACAAGCAGTGTAGCCACTGGGGACATTTCCGATGTCAGGGAAATAGGCCATGAAGGCATCCCTCGGCAGATTCACAGGGTGAGTCTCCAGTTTTGCCAGGTGGGTGGTGTGAGCTTCACAAAAAGGCTCTTAGCCTCTGAGCAAAACACCCAGGGGCTCATGGTGCAGGTGAAACACAGACTTGTGCCCATCCAAAAGCTCAGGCCTAGGGGCCCTGTCTGATGTCAGGAGGGTGGCAGGAGCAGCTGGGTAGGGGCCTAGACACACACCACTTGTTCAAATGCGTGGCTTGAAGGTAAACACTTCCCTGAGTGGGCGTTTCCTTCTGCTTTACCCATCAAGAAGAGCAAGTGCTGGCTGTAGTACAGAGAGAAGTAAATAAAACACTCCTGTGTGGGAAAAAATGCTATTCTTTAATTCATAAGGAAAAGAAGTTAATGAGTGAAAAAAAAAAAAAAAGCTACACCAAGAAAAATCTGTTCAACCAACTTGGGCTACAAATAGCTTGCCACTTTTCATTAAAAACAAAATAAACACAAAAAACAACCTTTTGTGGGTAAGAAATTCTCAGTTGGCCACATTTAAACCATGCTGTCTCCCCTTCAGCACAGGTCATGGAGTGAGTGGGGTTTTCTCTGGTGCTGCAGGGCCGGTCAGGGGAAGGAGGGAGCTTCTGGGCCGATGGCCTCAGTGTAAACTACAGTGATGGTGCTGTAAGACAAGGCACTTCCCATCCTTACTTGGGAGGAGGGTGACATGACTGCCGGGTTCAGGGGTGGGGCAGTTCTCTCCAGCTGATACACAGATGTCTGGTGGGGCAAGGGTTAGCAGTGACAAAATTCCAGACTGTTCACTCCATCCGAAGTCAAGGATGAGGGCAGAGGTTGAGCTGGGTGCAGCAGGTTAGGCCCGTGGGGCCTCCTGTAGGTCCCGCAGATGTGGCTGCCACTACCTCAGACAGTCCTGACTCATGCTGGGAAGAGGACATTTTTGTGCCCCAAACACAGGGCAAGAAGCTCAGGGCAGAGTGTGCTGGGGATCTGTCTGAGACAAACGGCCGAGACTAGAACCAGAGCCCCAGAGCCCAGTGTGTGTTGGTCCCAGCTCTCCTGGGGCCTTCCCTGGTCTAAGCCTGCGTTCATGTCTCTCCTGTGTCCCACATCCCTTGTCATCCTGATTTCCTCCTGACTCCTGCCTTTGTGCGCTTGTGGGCATTGTTCCCGTGCTGTTGTCCTTGGTACTCTTCTTACCCTTCCCCACCTGGTCTGGACCTAGGTGCCTGCACTTGGGGGCTGTGAATTAGCAGATGCACCCTGTACCTCTGCTGGCACCGCCTTCCCCAGCCCCAAAGACCCACAGTGTTGTCCCCGCCCCTCCTCACTCCACTTGCCCTTGCACGCCCCTCTCTGCAGGATGCACCTTGGGTGGTCACTTACTCATGATTGGCTCCCTAACTCCTGCAGGGCTCCCTGTCCAGCACCCAGGGAGGCTGAGTGGTTTCAGTTCGTCCTGAGCAGCCTGGGAGAGGGTGCAGACAGCCTAGGTGTGGTGTTACAGGGTGTATGGGAAGGCTAGCCAGGAAAACCAGGTTCTGAGGGGCCATAGACTACAGATGCCAAGTCCTGAAACCTCTGTTGTCCTGTAACAGGCCTCAGTGTGCGCACCCCATTTGAGGGGCATGTTCAGGGACCCAAGAGCCGTGGTACCTCCTCCCTGCTCTCAAAAGGGGTGCTGTTTCCAAGGACAAGGAGAAATGTGTGTACAGTGAGCAGCTTTGGAGAATACTTTTCTTGATTTGCGTATTAGCAAAATGTAAGCAGGTCCCCACACAAACAAGTCCTCATCACTGAAGACCGGCTGCCCTTTTAGGGCACAGAATCCACTGCAGCTGCCTCTGCCAAGAGGGTGCTGCCTGGCCCTGTTTAAAGCCACCCGGGTGTTACAGGGGTGGACAGAGCAGGGCCCTAGGGGGAGTTGGTCCACACCAAGCCCCAGATTCACTGGGCAGCTGGAGCGAACGCTACAAAGGGTGCCTGTGCTCCACGGCAGGGAGCCAGCCTGGGCACCCAGAGCAGCCAGGGTCCCTGGGGGTGGATGTGGCACGGGCCTCCAGCCACATCTGATGAGCTGCAGAGCCCCTGTGCCTAGGAGACGAGGCAGAGAGCTGCCCAGGGGAAGGACCTTGAAGGCAGGCGATGCTGTGAGGAGGAGCTGCCTGATGCTGTGTCCCCCCACCCCACCCTGGGGGACCCTCCGCTGGCTGTCCAGGGCCTGGACAGCCTGAGGCATCTTGGCGTCTCTGAGGTGCTCTATCTGTGCTTCAGTTCTGTGATCTTAAGACAAGCCAAAGGTGGAAGAACAGAAGATGAATGCAGAGATAGGAAATGGCGCCAACATGGAGATCCTCCTAGAGGCAATGAGGCGTTTAAAAATCCCACGGGAACACGCGCTGTGATAGACCAGAGCACCCGTGACCTAGATCGCGGAGCAGCCAGCGTTGATGGAGCAGAGCTCACCCTATCCTCCTCCACCCGCCTCTGTCTGTGGTGGGGTTCTTAGGGCTGGATCCTGCCTGCACTGCATCCCACCTCTCTTACCTGGCTTCTGAGTTTCAGGTCAGAGACAGGTTGGAGACAGATCTGAAAATCCTCCTGGAATAAACAGGACACAGTGGGGGGCTCTGGGCCCCATCTCTAGGTAACAAACCAGATCTCACAGTGACCCTGGCACCCTTGGCAGTAGGCACAGGTCCTGGCCTGTCCTAACACCCCACCCCATGTATGCTGGCTGCAGGTGCCCGGCACCACCCATGCAGCTCACAGCACTCCCCGGCACTTCCTTCAGGAAAGGTGACTGTCTGAGAGCCGTCAGTGCAGTGCTCATCACCTGGTTTCCAAGGTCTCAGGTATGGCCATGTCGCCAGGAGCACAGGAACTTGGCTGGGAGTCTCAACTCAGTCCCCATCATCGCCTCCTTCCAACGCATCCCTCTGGCTGAATGTCATTGGGGTCACCTCAGGCTATGGAGCACAGCCTTCTGCAGACGCCTACACAGCAAACACAACTGAGGCCCAGTGGAGGTGAAAGGTAGGGGCCAAGAGGCAGCCAGCCTTAGATGCCAGGCCACTGGCAGAGTGCAGCTGGCCTGGGGGGAGGGCCTCCTGCTCCCACCTGGAGACTGTAGGGGGCTTCATTTTCTAGCAAACATTTCCTGTCCCACCATGGGCTGCAGCCATGAACCAGCTGAGGAAGAGACCAGGACGCCTCCAAATTCCTTTCTCTTGACCCAGAGACTCTTGAGGCTGAACATCTGAGATTAGTGGCCAGCCAGAGCCAGCCTTCACTCGTGTCTGAGGTCTCTAGCTCTCATATCCTGGGCTGAAGTTGGTACCTGCCCTATTCTAAAGGCTGTTTTTAAAAAGGTTCCCTCTAAATGGGGGAGCAGCCGGCGACGGAGCCCCCTGGCACAGGGCCACTTTGGCAGGAAAGGAGGGGCCCTTCAGGCTCACCAGTGACTCAGAATAGCACATGGCAAACCTGGGGCTCAGTCACTGTCCCTGATGCTTCTGGCTAACATCGCCTCAGGTGGCTCAGTGGGATTAGACACAAGAAGCATTGTGAGGATGCACCTGAGAGCCAGACCCAGGGACCCAGGTGAGACCAAGTGGGAGAAAGGACTCACTGGCTTGCCCTTTCCCTGGTGCGCCTGTCAACAGGCCCAGTTTTGCAGCCAAAGTGCTTCACAACCACCCACACCTGTGGCTTTTTTCCGGGATGGGGCCCAAGTTCTCATCTGCTGAGTGCCTGTCTGTGGCCTCCTTAGCAGTACACTGCTGATAAGCTAAACTGGTCCTGCCTCTAGAACTTCCCAGGCAACTGTAGGCTGCAGGTAAAAGGTGCAGCGTGGGCAGGACTCATGCCTTCTGTCCGCAAAACTGCTGCATCTCCTGGCGGCACAGATAGGCTAGTGCCCCATACATCAGAAGTGGGGGCTGAGGCACTCCTTCCTCAGGGCTTCACACTGGGACATTAACATGCCCCAGGCCAGGAGAGAGGTATTGGGTTGTGTAGACTGACAGAAAGGCCCACGAGGCTGCCTAGAGCAAGGCAGAGGGCCTTTGGGCAGGTGCTGGCCACAGTGATCCCCAGGAAAGCAGGCCCAGGGCTGATGTGCATCATTAGGGTCCAGGATGAAGGCGTCATTAGGCTGGTTTCCCAGCTTCTGTGCCACCAGGAGCAGGGCCAGCATGCCATCAGCCAGGTTTGGGCCTCACTGCCAGGGTGGCCTGGAAGGCTCTGCCAGACCTCCTGCCCAGGGTCATGGTATGTGATTCTCAGACTAGATACCATGACAGTCCTCTCAGTGTGAGGCAGAGGTCCAGGTCTGTGTCTTGGGACACTGTCTTGGCTGCATCTGCTTCTCGAGTTATTAAAGGATCAAAGAGAGACACTATCATCAACAACAGCAACACTCTGATTTAAAATTTGTTTGTTTGTTTGTTTTGTTTTTTTCCAGTACCAGGAATCTGATTTAAAAATGGGCGAAGAATTTGATTTGACGTTTCTCCAAAGAGGAGCTGAAGAAAGATAGGGTCTGGGCCAGGTGTGGTGGCACACGCCTGTAATCCTAGCACTTGGAGGCTGAGGCAGGAGGATCACTGTGAATTCAAGACATGCTTGGGCTACATAAATGAGTTCAAAGCCAGCCTGAACTGCATAGTGAGACCCTGTCTCAAAAAGACAAAAGAAAAAGAAGGAGGAGGAGAAGGAGGAGGATGAGGAGGGGAAGGAACAGGAGGAGGAAGAGGGGGAAAAGGGGAAGGGGAAGGAGGAGGAGGAGGAGGAGAAGGAGGAGGATGAGGAGGGGAAGGAACAGGAGGAGGAAGAGGGGGAAAAGGGGAAGGGGAAGGAGGAGGAGGAGGAGGAGAAGGAGAAAGATAGGGGCTGGGATTCCTCAGACCCACTTCTGTCCAGGCTCTGGGCTGGGTCTTGGGTGATTATCTGAATAGATCCTGGTCCTCTTGAGCTTAGTCCACTGAGAATATTAGCCTTGTATCACCTGGTCCTGGGCCATGCTAGTGGAAGATTTATGGGGAGAAAGCTAGAAAGAGAGAGTACATAAGATTAAGTAGGAGCCCTCAGCAGAAGAGAGGAGCAGGACTACGCCAGGCAGGGCCCTGAATGAGGGGGAGGAAATGACTAGGGTGGCTGGAGAAGGGCAATGGTTTGCGCTGCCCCAGTGCTGAGTGACCCACGGGACCTGGGAGTCCTGCTTGTCTGCCGCAAGACTTGGCCTAGATGGGCCAACGTTGAGGACCCTTCCAGCTCTCTAGGATAAAGTACAATGAAATAAAAACCAGCTTGCACATAAGGGAGAACAGGGACCAAAAAGCAACAAGGAGTGCCTGCCTAGCATGTGTAAAGCTCGGGGTTTCATTCCCTAGTACTGAAAGAAGAAAAAAGAAGCAACAAGGAGAAGGGAAAGACCCGAATCAAGCACTACTTGCATAGAGCTGTCAGAAGATAGCACCCAACCAAGCCCAGAACTGGTCAGTTGGGGAAGGGACTTGAATGAGGCTGGCATTTTCTTTGTCTACAGGGGACAACCACTGACTTACTTTATCTATTTTTCAACCACTGATTTAGAGGAGCCACCTATGTGCTGGAGTCTGTGCAGGACCTTTTTCACCGGGAGGAAAGCTAATAGGGGCCACCAGGTGTTTTGTTCCAGAATCCCCCAGGGAGGCACATGGGTCTCTGGAGGGGGACATGTCTTGGTCACTGCATAGGGACAATGCAAGGGCTTATTCTACTTCTTAACTTACTTGGAGGCAGCACTAAATCTACACATTCCTTGCTATCAACCCTATTAGCATCCCTGGTCCAGATTTTTTTTAAAAAGAGGTTAAATTCTAACTGGTACATGGGACTTTCAGACACAGGGAGAGGTGACAGGCTCCCAGCTGCTCTCCAGGAACCAAAAAAGATGCACATTCCAGACAGCTGCGTTCTGTGTTAAAATTAAAGGCCACACCAGGCCAGTTCTGTCTAGCTGTGTACAGAAGTGCTGCTGGGCACTGCCCTGCCCAGAACTTCTGCCTGGCTCTGTCCATCGTCTAACAACTCAGCCCATCCATCGTGCCAGCTGGCACTGGACTTGACAGTGGGACTTTCACTGCTGTGACAATGCCATGCATTTTGAAAAGTACTTGGTTCAAATGCTCTTCAAACAAATGAACTACTTTCTGTTAGCATTTGAAGGGCTCTATACTGAGCAAAGAGGAAAGGCAGCAAAATGAAAAATAAGAAGGCTCAGTTGCAAACACTACGGAGGACCTCAGAAGCTATCAATTCTGAGCAGGTGGTGGCGCATGCTTGTGATCCAGGTAGCCAGGAGGCTGAGGAAGGAGGATCTCAAGTTTGAATCCACCCTGTGCTACATAGCAAGATCTATGTCCTAAACATTTAAATTAAAAAAGAAACCAACAGTTCCATATCTGTAACCTCCTAATGAGACCCTCTCCCAGCAATGATCAACAGCACAGAAAGGCAGCAGCCTGCTGTAGGCTAAAGCTTCCAAGAGGCTTGGAGCAGAGGGGCTCAGGGCCTTGCACCAGGCACAGGTGTGTGCCCACATGCTTAAAAACTCCCTCCACTCTTCCCCCTATCCTGCCCCCTGGGGACAGCCACCACATCTGAGAATGTCCAGGTCACTCCACTAGGGGGGCTCTTGGCACACATGTTAAGGGAAGGGTGCCAAGGGTCCTTGAGTCACCTGCTCGGCCCCAGGCCTGACCTTGGTCTTCTCATGTGTAATGTGGGACACCAGCTGACCCTGACTCCCGGGTGCAGTAAAGTTCTAGTAGGACAACTGGTGCCAAGCTTAGCATGATGCCACACAGAGAAAGAGTGCTGTGGCTGTTACCCCTCACTGGGGATTTTTTTTAAAAATGCACCATAAAACATTTAATCTATTGTATGATCTATATCTACGTACAGTGTTCCCTTAACTATCAATTCTACGCTCAGCATTGTGCTGCAGACTGTGAAATACAGAGGGACCGTAACATTTTCAGGGGAAGCCAGTTTGTGGCAAATGCTTTTAGCATTATGTATTGTCTTTCTACCCCAGAGCACAATGATTTAACTCCAACTCCTTGCCTCTGCCACACTTTGCCCAATTTCTAGTCTTACTTGCCTCCTCATGTGTCTGTATTTGATTAAGCAAGTCATCAAAGTTTATATAATATAAAAATCAAACCTTTTTTTGAGATGGAATTGTAAGAAATAATACAAAGAGAGCCCATGGATCCTACTGCCAGTTTTCCCCAGTGGTGCCACCTTGAAAACTCATCCTGTAGCATCACAGTACCACAACCCAGATGTTGTCATTGAGACAGGTGAGATACAGAATATTTTATAACCACAAGGATGCCTCCGTTGCCCTCTTCTAACAATGCCCACTTCCCTTCCTTGTCTTTCCCACCCTACCCTCAATCTCTGACAACCTCTATTTCCGTAATCTTGCCATCTTATGAACGTTACATGAGTGGAAGCATTCAATATATTGCCTTTGGGGATTAGCTTTAGTCCCTTAGAATAATTCTGTACCAGTAATTCCTTTTTTACTGATGAGTAGCTTTCCACAGTGTGGATGACCACAAGTGTTTAATCCTTCACTCATTAAAGGGCATCTGGGTCATTTCCAGCTGCTAGCTATTACAAATACAGGTACCATTAATATTCACGTACAGGGTTTTTTTAGTTTGCTTTGTTTTTGGTGCTGAGAATTAAATCCAGGACTTGAGCATGCTAAGCAGATAGTACCACTGACCTATGTCCCCAGCCATGGGCAGGTCTTTGAGTGAGCCAGTCTTCATCTCCCTGAGATAACTGCTGCAGACTGCAATTGCTGGGTGTATGACAGTTGTGTGTTTAGGATTTTAGGAAACTGACATTGTTTTTCGAATGGCTGTGACATTTTACATTGCCACCAATTGTGTGTAAGTGATCCAGTTTCTCCATATCCTCCCCAATATTTAACAGTTTCCCTCTTTTCCCCCATTCTAATAGTTGTATAGTGGTATTTGGTGGTGTTTTAATTTGCATTTCCTTAACATGTAAATAAGTGTTGTCCATGTGCTTATTTGTCATATTTATATCCTCTTTTATCCTCTTTGGTGAAGTGTGTGTTCATGTCTTTTGCTTTTGTTCTAACTGGATTATTTATGTATTTGTTTATACTAGGGACTGAACCCATGTTCTGTCTGGAATTTTGTTGTTGTTGTTGTTACTAGGGTTAAACTAGGGCACTCTACCATTGAGCTGCATCCTGGCCCCTTTTATGTTTTATTTTGAGGCAGGGTTTTCTGCCCAGGGTCGAGGCAGGGCTCAAATTTGTGATCCTCCTGCCTCAGTCTCCCAGAGTAGTGAGGTTACAGTTATGTTTTTTTTTTTTTTTTTTTAAAAACTGTTGAGAACTATATGTTCTAGATATTGGCCTTCTTTGGATTTGTGGCTTGCAAATGTTTTCTCCCAGTTGTTAGTTTTTCTTTTTATTCTTTAACAGAACAAACTTTTAATAGAGAAAATTATTCACAGAGCAAAAGTTTTTAATTTTAATGAATTCCAATTTATCACTTTTTTAATGTCTTGTGCTTTGGTGGTTAAGTCTAAAAACTCTTTGTCCAGCTCTAGAGCATGGGGATTCTCTCTCTTTTTTTTCTAGAAGTTTTATAGTTTTAAAATTTAAATCTATGATTCTGTTGTATGTTAATTGTTGTAGATGGTATGAGATTAAAATAGTTTTTGTTTCTGTTTGCTATTGGATGTCTAATTACTTCATCATCATTTATTGTATCTTTCCTTTCTTGAGTTGTGTATGGTATATTTCTGTTACTGTAATGAAATACCTAAGGCTGGTAACTTTATAAAGAAAAGAGTTTTATTTAGCTCATAGTTTCAGATGTGGAGAGTTCATGGTGAGGTGACTTCATGGTGAGGTGATTTGACCTCTGGTGAGGACCTTGTGGCAGACAACATCGTGGTGGAAGTGTGTGTGATGGGGACATCACATGGTGAGACAGGAAACAAGCACAGGGAGCAATCAGGCCCACTTTTTATAGCAGACTCCTCTCAAGGGCCAACGAGGGTCCCATAAAGCTACATGAATCCCTTCTGAGGGCAGCACCCTCAGTGACTTAATTACTTCCTACATATGCCCCACCTCTTCAATGTCCTTCCATCTTTTAATACCACTGCATGGAGGACCAAGCCTCCAGCCCTCGGGGGTCACTCAAATCATACACAAGCACAGCAAGGTACTCTTGAACTTTTATTAAAAGTCACCTGGGCACATTCATATAGATTTACTTTTTTACACTGTTGCATTGATCTAGGTGTCTATCTTTCTGCCAATAATATAATATAATTCTAGCTAATATTAACCAGGTAGCCTGTTTGTTCTCACTTCAGCAAAGCTGAAGAATGTGTATTAAACATACAAACATCGATTGTATTTCTATCTACCAGCCACAGAAATCAACATTTAAAATATGGTGTCATTTATAATCTCTCAAAAAAAATTCTTTTTTTCAGAAGAATTCAAAATCTGAGCAAGAATTATATGCTGAGAAGAACAAAATGCAGGTGGAATAAAAGTTAATGGAGAGACATACCATGTTCATGGATTGGAAAACTCAACTTTGTGAAATCACAATTATCCCCCAGTTGATATATCTCTATCAAATTCTTATATATCAAAATATAAAAATCCCAGCAATATTTTGTAGCTATTCAAATAGTCAAAACTATTTTATATGGAAAGGCAAAGGAATTAGAATGGCTACTATTGTTATTTTAACTCACCACAGGTTGGGAACTAATTTCCCTTTATGTTTTACGTTACATTGTTAAGGTAAATTTTACTTGTAATGAAATACTCAAATCTAAGGTGCCCAACTCAATGAATTTTGACAAATGAATAGATTCATGTATCCAAAAGCCTAATCAAGATTGTTTCTATTACCCTGGAAAGTTTCCATGTCACTTTCCAGTCATTCCATTTCCACCTCCAGCCCCATCCCAGGCCAAGCAGTCACTGATCTGTATTCCATCACCAGTATCTTAGAACATCATTAATTTTGCTTATCTTAGAACATCAAATAAAAATATTATACTCCATGTACTCAGTGTGTGTGTGTGTGTGTGTATTGAACTCAGGTCCTGTGCACTGATCTATATCCTCAACCCCTTAAATTCTTTTTTTTTTTTTTTTTTTTAATTTCGAGGCAGAGTCTTAATAAGTTGCCCACTGGCTTGAATTTGACATCCTTCTACCGCAGCTTCCCAGGATGCTGGGATTGCAGGCATGAGTCACCATGCCTGATAACTCCATGTACTTTAAAAAATCTGACTTCTTGGGCTGGGGATGTGGCTCAGTGGTAGAGTGCTTGCTTACCATGTGCAAAGCACTAGATTTGATTACCGTCCCCCAGAAAAGAATCTGGATGGTCTCCCAAAACGTAGGTGATCTCTTAGGTGTCCTAGGTTCTCAGAGTGGCCATAACCATGAGTCCCACTCCTCTTTAGTTTACATTGCTTGGTTCAATCTCCAGCACCACAAACAAAGCAAAATAAAAAAAGCCCCCACACAAACAAAAACAAAACTGACTTCTTCAACTAAGCATAATTATTTTGAGATTCCTCATTTAGATGTATCAATAATTCATTAATTTTTATGGATATGTAAATATCCGTTGTATAGTTATGCCATGATTTGTTTAACCATTCACCTATTGATATTCTTTTGGTTGTTTTTGGTTTGAGACTGTTACAAATATAGCAGTTATGAACATGTGTGCACAAATCTTTGGACCTCTATTTCCTTTTTTTTTTTTTTTTGTCTTTTTGAGACAGGGTCTCTCTATGCAAGTTCAGGCTGGCCTTGAGCTCACTTTGTAGCCCACACTGGCCTCAAACTCACAACAGTCCTCCCGCCTCAGCCTCCCGAGTGCTGGGATTACAGGCGTGCGCCACCACACCCAGCTCTGGACCTCTATTTCCTTTTCTTCTGGGCACACATTTGAAGAGTAGGATGGCTAGACCATATCAGAGGTGTGTGGTTCAATGTCAGATATGTTCAGTGTCAGAGGTTCAGTGTCAGATATGTTCACTGTGAATATTTTCTCCCAAGCAAAGCCTTAATTTTTATTTAAAAATGTGTCTTTTGAGAAAAAGATGCTTAATAAATTTCAATTTGTCAATTTCTAAATTTTATATTTATGCCTTTTGTGTTTTCTCCAAAGAAATCTTTGACTACTTACTGTAAGATTGTGAATATATTCTTTTCTGTTTCTTCTGGAAGATTTTGTGTTATGTTTAGGGCTATGATTCATAATGAATTGATTCTTCTTGTGACTATGTGTGGTGCTGGAGATGGAACCTAAGGCCTTGTACACACTAGGCAAGTGCCTTACCACTGAGGTACACCTCCACACCCCCATGAATTACTTTTGTGTATGGTGTTAGGTAGAGGTCAAAGACCATCGCCTAACCCCCAGTTTATCTAATAATTTTGCAGTATTTGTTGAAACACCTAGACTTTCCCTAAGGAGTTACCATGGACCTCTGATGAAAACCAAATGATTTTCTTTCTTTCTTTCTTTTTTTGTTCTTTCTTTCTTGTCTTTTTTTTTGAAACAGGGTTTTGCAGTTCAAGGTAACCTTGAACTCACAGAAATCCTCCTGCCTCAGCCTCCCAAGTGCTGGGATCATAAGAATAGGTCACCATGCCAGTGGCTGTGTATTTCTGTAATCCATTTTGCTATGAGATAGCTACTGATGGCTGCATAAAACTCAGAATTTAGTGATTTGAAGCATCAATTTAAACATTGTATATCTATCATGGTTTCTGTGGGTCAGAAATACAAGAAGATTCAGCTGAGTAGTTCATACAATTTCAGGCATTCAGTGGCTGGAGCTGGAGCAGCTGAGTGGACATCTTTCTTTGAATTTTCAGGGCTTCTTCATATCATCTCTGGAGGTGGCCTAGACTGGAAACTATCACTGCAGGTGCTGCAGGTGAGCTAACATGGCATCCTAAAGGCATGAGGTCTTCAAGACTCTGAGAGCAGGTGCCCCAGCAGACAAGGCAGATGCACAATTGTCTGGACTGTCCCAGCCTCAGAAGCCCAGCAGCAGCACTGTTGTTAAATCTTGTGGTTTATAAGAGAGTACGGTGTATAAGATCAGTCAGATTCCAGAGGAAATAACAGGCTTCCAGAAGAGCATGTGGGATGGAAGACAGTGCAGCTACGTTGGAAAAATAAAATCTGCAAAATCTCATCCTTTTCTGGGAGAGAGGAGTTTAATTTTGATCACACTTTTCTGCAGACTGGATAATCTGTATCTGTCTCTGGACAGCATCATGGGGCTAGAGTGGTCAGTGGGGGTACTCCCCACCCATGCCTGGGCCATCTGCAGCAGTGCAGAGGAGGAAGGCCCATCCCAGGTGTGTGGTTACACTTGGGCAACGCCAGGTGTGGTGGAGGAAGGGGAGGTGCCAGGTTGGCTGGCTGGATCAGGAAGGAAATCATGCGTCCCTTGTCCTGTGACCTCAGCATACCTCTGAGCCAGGTGTGTGTAGATCTGGGAGGGACTGTGTACGTGAATGTTGAGCCCATTGGAGGACACGTTGGACTGCAGGCTGGATGGGTGACAGGACTCAGGGATGGAGGAAAGGCCTAGAGGAATGGGCTTGCTGCAGCCCCACCCGTTCTGCATGCAGCACTGCTCTGGCTGGGAAAGAAAGCCCCATGCAAACAAGGGTGTTTGGGTTGGCCGGGGCTCCAGGAGGCCATTCAGAACTGAATGGAGCCATCTGAGGCTCCAGGAGAGGCGCTGAGTGAGAGGGCACATTCCGTGGTGGTGGTGGGGCCTGGCACTGTCCCTACCAAGCCAGGGGAGGGGATGCCCATGTTGTGTTTGGCCAGCATCACACCCCAGGGGCCGACAGAGAGTCTCCAATGACCTCAGTGCTTTTCCTGTGCAGACCACCCCACCTCCCTGCAAAGCAGGATCCAAGGAGATCCTTAAGAAATCACTCTGGACAGATCGAGCTGGTGTAACCCCAGCCCAAAGCAGCCACACTGCATTTGGTCAATGATCTGGGTCCAATCTAAAGGTGGGGAGACAATCTGCTGAGGGACATCTCAAATTCTCACTCGGGGTCTCCTGGTGTAACCGTCTCCCCGTGGTATTTCCCACCACTTCCCTCACAATCACAGGCCTTTCATGGCTTCTAGATGGGGCCAAGCCCTGTCCCTCCTCAGGGCCTTTGTTAGGGCTTGTACCCTGCCTTCTGAGGGCTGGCCCTTCCTGCTGCCTGCTCAGTCAGGCTGGTCTCCTGGGAGGCCACTCCACCAGCACCACTGCTGCCGGCACCATTGACGAGTGGCATTCTGCATACCTCATTCCCTCAGTTTCTCCCTCCAGTGAATGGAACCCTAGGATGAGACAAAGTGCAGGGGAAACTGACCAATATCTCTTGATTTTTGTTTTTCATTTCCTTGATGCTGGGTCCTGTAAAGACCTCATGGTGGAAGGCTATTAATCAAAAAGGAGACCTCAGGGTGGCTGGGGGTTGACTCAGTGGTAGAGAGCTTGTCTTGCATTTGTGAGAAACTGGGTTCCATCTCCAGCACCAGAAAAAAGCAGGGGAGGAAAATGTTCTTATATATATGCACATACACATAAATGTGCTCATACTTGCATGAAATGCCCTGGAAGGACAGGGTGCTGCTCCGTCTAGGATGACAGGGAGGGTGTTGTGTGTATAGGCAGGAAAGTCAGGCAGGAGTCTCTACACATGAACCCTTTTATGTTTCTGCAACTTTGAAAACTGAGATATCCATTACTTATTGGAAAAAGTTAAAAAAAAAAAAAAAATTGCTGCAGGCCAAAGAGAGGAAAAAGAGCCAAAGGCTTGGGGACGCAGCTCCACCCTTAGGCGGGGGCTTAGCAGGGAAAGGGAGGCCTTGCAACAAAAACCAGCTTCTTAGGTGGATCAGCAGCCCTGCCCAAACTCCTGTTCTGTCTGGAGCTGAATAACGACTGTTTGCTGTGGCAAACCACCCTAGGTCAGTAGGGAAGGTGGGGACTGTGTTTATTTCATCCTTTCCAACCTCGCCTGGCTTCTGCGCAGAGGAGGCCAGCAGCTTGTGGTCGCCCCATCCCAGTGGTGAGACCAAGAGGATTTGCTGAGACCGGGGAATTCTGAGCTCAGTCGTTCCCAAGGGCCATGCTCATGCCCAGAGCTCAAACTTCAGGCCAAACACTCAAGGATTATCCCCTTCGAAAAGATTCAGAGGAAATAAGCAGGAAAAGGGAAGGTCCATGTCAAAGCAATTAAAATCGACTTAATTCAAAGCCCGGAATGTTAATGCTAACACACAAATCTTGAGCAGAAAAACACTCCTTTGATTCAGAACTTATATCCCAGCAGTCCAAGAAGGCTGGCCCTTATTTCCCTTTTTATTTTTACCTTTTGAAACATTTCTAAATAAGTTACCAAGAAGCCAGTTGGGGGTTTGTGGAGCAGAGGAAAATTCACTATTCAAATAAATCATTTCAGAGGAATCTCTGATGGATGCACAGACTTCTCTTAGCAAAACGAGAGACCAATTTTCCTAGATCAAATTTCCAAAGAAATGGAATTTCTTGTGCTTTCTTGCTAAAGTGCCACGCTGCGAGTGCTTCAAGAAGACAGTTCCTTCTGGAGAATGAGAACCTTCTCTGGGGAGAGAGGGACCAGCCTGCAGCAAAATTAACCTCCACCAACGGAGGACGGGGGTTCTGCCGGAATCATACTCCACAGGCTCAGCAGTTGCCACAAGGCAGCGCCACGCCAAATAATAGGCTGGAGGGACAGAAAGGCTCAGCTCATGGTGACTGCGAAGTACCTGACACATCTAGGGCCTAGGAGGAAATGGGTTATAAATATTTAACCCACGTCCAACCCTGGGAGCAAAGTGTATATTACTTCATCAATCATTTGTGTCCCTCGACTACCTGGTGAAATAATATTTTGGATATAAGTTTAAAAGTATGAAAATTAATTCCATCTGCTTTTTAAACTGTGTGCAGTGGTTTGGATCTTTCAAGACTACCAAAGGCTTGGTCTCCAGTGCAGTGCTATTTATTAATCCATAAGAGGTGGGACCTGTGGGGAGCTTCTTAGGTCACTGCAGTGTGCACTTTAAGGAGATGGCAGAGCCCAGGCCCTTCTCCCTATTTCTCTGTTTTGGGACCTGGTCATAATGGAGTGAGCAGTTTTGCTCTGCCATGTGCTACTGCCATGGGGTATTTCCTCGCCAAACCAAAGACTGAACTTATCATGGACTGGGACCTCTAAAACAGGGCAAAAAGTACTACTACCACCAACACCCCCCCAACACACTTTTTCTATTCATAAGTTGATTATCTTAGGTGATTTGTTACAGTAACAGAAAGCTAATATAGTGTGGCTTCTAGTAACTTAAAAATTATATTCATAGCTTCCATTCTACTATACAGCATTAGTATATATCTTAGTCTATTTTCTTTCTTTGCTTCTTTTTTTTTTAATTGAGACAGGATCTTACTATGTAGTTCAGGCTGGACTTGAACTTGCAGTGTAGCCTAGGCTGGGCTCTGACTCTCAATTCTCTTGCCTCAGCCTCTCAAGTGCTGGGATTATGGGCATGCGCCACCATGCCCAATATTTTAGTCCATCTTCTGTTGCTATAACAAAAGGTCTGGTAACTTATACCTGGGTAATTTATAAGGACTAAGAATTTATTTAGCTCAATGTTTTGGAGGCTAGAAAGTCCACAAGCAAGGAGCCAGGATTTGGCAAAGGCCATTTTGTTGCATCATAACATGGTGTAGGACATCCTACACCATGACAGAGCAAGCGTGCTAGCTCAGGTCTGTCTCACTCTTCTTGTCAAACCACTAATGCCACCATAGGGCTCCACCCTTATGACCTCACCTAGTCCTAGTCAAATACCATTAACATATGAATTTAGGGATTAAGTTTCAACAGCATTTCTGAGGGGACATTCACATCATGGCAACATAGAAAGTTTGGAAATAGAGCCGAGTTTGTGTGTGAAGGATCAATATGTGACTCAGATCACCAGGGGAGAAGATGAATTTTTAGAGATACATGACACTGGAACAACTGTGAAACCATTTAGAAAAAGATAATATTAGACGCACATTCCACATCTTACACAATGTGAATGTAAGATGAAATCATACAACCACTAGAGGAAAACACGCATGAGGTCTTTTGCAACCTGCTTGTGGGGAGAGGCTTTTTAATGAGGATTCAGAAAAATTAAATAAACATAGGTTATGATTTAGATTTAAAATATCCTCACAAGGTTCACATTTTCAGAGGGAGAGTTTTTGAAGGTGATTGGATCGTGGGGTGCTATAATTATTGGTGGATTAATCCACTGATGGGTTTAGAGTTATGTTTTAGAGATGGGGGTCTGGTCAGAAGAGACAGTTCACTGGGGGCACAACCTGGAAGGGCATGTTCTTGTCTCCTGCTCTTTCCTTTTCTCTCTGCTTCCTAGCTGCCATGGATTGAGCAGCTATACTCTGCCGTGCCCGTCTACCATGACATTTCAGCCTTGGACACAACCAGCCATAGACTGAACCCTATGAAAATGTGTGCCAAAATAAATCTCTCCTCCTCTAAGTTGGAGGTGTTGGATATTTTGTCCCAGTGATGGGAAAATGACTAATAAGATATAAAACACCATTCCATGGTAAAAGATACCCTAAGCAAAGACAGTTGAAAAGTGACAAATGGGGAAAGAATATTTGCATCATATATGGACAGGTAACCTAGTACTATCTGTAGTACCTAAAAGAGTCTTAAAGGGGGAAAATGACAAGCAAATAAGCCAACAACACCAACTCATGATAGAAGACACATGATATAAAAATGGCATTAAACCATGCATGTGGTGTGTGCCTTTAGTCCCAGCTACTCAGAAAGCTGAGGCAGAGAATAACTTGAGCCCAGGAGTTCAAGACCAGCCTGGGCCATCTTGTCACAAAAAGGGCATGGTGCAAGGAGCACCATGTGTGGTGCAAGGAGTTTAATGCTCAAGTTTACAAGGAGGAAAGTGCAAATCAGTCCAAGACTTCTCACCTGCAGATGAACAGCTCTTATTCAGAGGCTATGTGGACAGGGGTCCTTGCATGCTGGGGCTGTCCAATGGCCTAGTCACTAAGAGGGGTCTGTAAGGGAGATTTGGGCTGTACGACAGAGATTGCACCTGCTTCACCCTTGGACCTGTAATCTTGCCTGTGAGAATTTGCCTAGAGGATATACCTCCAACAACACAGAGATGTACGTAGACAAGTGTACTCATGGTGGTAAGACTGGTCATTGCAAGTACTGGAAACACTTTGAGCCATGGAGCAGTGGCCACCAAGGGAGCATCACATGGTCACAAAAGGAGGAGGACAGAAGGAGCTCCTGGACCAGGAAGAGAACAGCTCCAAGCAACATGTCATAGGAAATTTTTAAAAACACAAAATGATCATGAGTGGTGCAATACTCTTTCATGAGGAACGAAAATAAAGTACAGCCATGTATTGCTTAACAATGGGATAAGTTCTGAGAAAAGTGTCGTTGGACAATTGCATTTCTGTGCCAACACCAATAGGCATACTGACACAAATTAAGATGGCTATGATGTCACTAGGCGATGTAATGTTATGAAACTACCATTGTATGTGTGGTTCGTCTTTTATTGAAATGTCACAGTGCAGTATGTAACCATGTGGATATATATTCTGATGTTGGCTGAACAAACCAGGGGAGATAAACAGAAATGAATGAAAGTAAATGGCCCACAGGGATGGAAGAGGGCAAGGTGGGAGGATCACAGCATGGTCTTCTGCATAGCTCTGAGTTTGGATATTGTCTGTGTTTCCCAAGGTCATAAATAAAGCTAATCAAGAAACAATGCAGGGGGAGCAGTAGAACTGAAAATGACCAGAAATCAAGCCTAATCTCGTTTCACATGGATGACACAGCATATAGAAGGAACAAAGAATGAGTCCAAGTAGCTTTGGGGTTTTTTTATAGACTCTATTTAACTTAGTAAATTTGAGGGGGGGGGTTGTATGATTTTATTTTTCTTTTATGTGTGTTTGTTCTTTTGTTTTAATTTTTTAACCTTAAAACACATTCATTTACTCATTGTGTGTGTATATATATATATATATATTTTTTTTTTCTTTTTTCTTTTTCCCGCATACACTTTCTTTTCTTGTTATGTAGTTCAGGCTGGCTGTCAAGAACTCTGGGGAAACCAAGCTCAGCAGGCATGGGTATAGCAGTTCCAGGACAGTCTTGTGAGTTCGGGGGATAACTAGGTGACAAATAACACTATGTGCTTAGCAGCTTGGAATCTTGTGGGAGAAGCAGGTACAGATGAGGACAGGAAGAACCTGCAGTGCTGGGGTAGAAGCAGACATAATAGTGAGATTATTAATTATTATATGTTAATTATATATAATTAGGATTAATGACAAATATAGTTAAAACATATCATCATATATTAATAATGTAACTATATGATCATTTGTATATTAATATAATTGATATTAATATATTAGTGGATCATAATTTAATATATATGCATTATTAACTGTACATTTATAGATATTATAATAATTATACATATTTTTTTCCTAGTACCTGGGTGACGCCTTGCTGAAAATGAGCACAGGTTACACCTAGATCTTGTGCCAAGGAGATGTTCTGCTGTGGCACAAGCTGGCTTCTCGGAATCACGGCCAAATCCAGGGCAGCACCAGTGAAAGCGCAAGCTGAGCCCAGAGCATCCAGCAGCGCCGGGAAGCAAGGAAGTGTTCCGAAATGCTAAGAACACATCCAAAGGCCGCGGGAGTCAGTCTGCCAGCATCAAATCATCAACAACAGTAATGGCATAGAACTCATTGGATATAGGAAAAACCTACCAACCCACCCTGGTAATAAATAAATGGACAGGACAGGGAGACTGCCAGCTATGGCATTATGGTAGAATGCCAGTTACGAATGCAGGAGTAAAATCATTATCTTGCAAGCACTGTAATAATACTGACTTGGGCAAGAATCAATAACAGGTTCTAGGAAGCTTTGGGGTGAAAGGTTGTTGGGAAAGGTGTTTACTCAGCCTGCGAGCTTCTCCCATGGCTCCCTTATTAATGACACAGGTGGAGACACCCGGCAGATGCCACCTGAGCCCAGAAGCCGCATGGACTCTAGGAAGACTCGGTGTCACTCATAATGTGTAGCCATTGGGCATCTAATTGGAAGAAGTGGTCAGGCAGGACCAGGTCAAGGAAGTGTCACAGACAGGTGGCCTGTGTACCCAGACGCCACTGTTGGGGGCCCAAAGGGCAGCTTCTAGACACATAAGGGTGAAACACAGGGTGAAAGTCCCGCATAGAAGGAAGTGGCTAGGAAGTACGTTATTGGTACATTGGTGAAACTTGAGTTTCAACAGAAGCATGCCCCCCCAACTAAAGTTTTTGTTACTTGTTGTCAACTGTGGTCTGAAAATATTAAATGGAAAATTCCAAAAATAAATAATTTATAAGTTTTAAATAACTTTCTCTATAGCATATTATTATAAATGTTCTATTTTATTATTAGGTGTTGTTGCTGTTACTCTCTTACAACGCCTAACTTACAGATTAAACTTTATCATGGGCATACAGGTATAGGAAGATCGTATCTACGTAGGATCTGGTGTTATCTGAAGTTTCAGGTAGCTGCTGTGGGTCTTGGAATGTGTCTCTTATAGATAAAAGGATAGTACAATCTTGAGTATATCATTTATGAGTGTTGTTTCAATGTTAATTTCTTCTTTTTAAATTATTGTATGTTTATAATACATAATGTTTACATTCCTCATGGGAAATTGGTACGTGTACATAACACATCTCAGTTCCTTTTTTAAAAATCCCCTTTCCCTTCCCTTCCGGTCCCCTCCATCCATCTCTTGATTCCTTTCCTCTTTTTTGGTACATGTTTGCAGTGTTAATTTCTTGAATTTAATACTTGAGCAAAGCACCCTTGCTTAGGAGAAACATGGTGAAGACTTTGGGGTAAAGGGTGGCGAGAGTCCCAGGTGGTCCAGGAATATTAATTGTGATTACAGCAGCAGTACTAGAAGTACTGTGCAGATTTGTACAGAGAGGGCACGAGAGAGGAAATAAAGCAAAATGTTAAACAGGGGAAACTGAGCGCAGTGGACTTCCCTTTTCTGCACATTCCAGAAGATCCCTGAATGGAGCCATGGCCACCAAGGATCTCTGGCCACCAAGAGGGGAAGATGTAGCCCTGTGCAGAGTTGATGGAGAAGCCTCAACCTTTTCTGGCTCCAAAGCAGGATTTGTCTGCTTCCCAGGATATACTGTGCTTGCTGGACATGTTGTACTCCCCAGAATGGTGGACTTGGGGGCCAGAAATCCTAGATGGTTCACCCTGCTAGGGGCCGGGATATCTATGTGGAGCCCTGTCCGCAGTTTGCTGTGTCTGGACCAGTTCCTTTGGTTCTCTGCTCATGGGGGTTAAATACCAAAGGCTGTCCCAACCCAGTGCCCGGCTCTCAGGCTGATGCCCTTGGCCACAGCCCCTGCTGTATATCGTTGTGGGTGTCTTACCAGCCTCTGCAGCACTTTCTGTCCCCCAGTTTGCAACCTGTGGGCTCCCAGGAGCAGCCACATGTTGCGTTTTTTCTTGGTGCTATTGTGTGGACTCTCTATTACCTCCTTGTCCTCTGGCTACCCACTGTTCACAGGCCATGGGCTTGGCAGTCAGGAGCCCATCTGCAGAAAGAGTAAGCACTCAGCAATCCAAGGAGGGCAGGTGTTTGTGCTCCCTTGAGGGTGGCCCTGTGACTGGATGCAGGAGGTGGTTGTACAGACGCAGATGGGGCCCTGGGTGAGAGGGGAGACCCCTGCCCAGCCTGGGGCCACTCCTGCTTAAATGAGTGTCCTCACATGAGGCGCAGCCCACCAAGAGGAAAGCTTGGGTCATAGGTACCCTAGAGGCCACCTACAGCTAGGTCCTTAACGAAGTGCCCTGTTCGGATTCCAAGTCTTGGTGTCTTTCTAGGGTGGTGGAACCTCCTGGAACACTGGCAAGCAGAGAGAGACGCAGAGCCTCAGGCTGGCGGCACCTCCCCCCCATTTGGGGTCTTGTGAGTCCTGTGGCGTGTGTGTGTGTGTTGTGGTGTGTGTGTTGTGTTAGGGATGGAACCCAGGGCCTCAGGCATGCTAGGTAAGCTCTCCACCACCCAGCTCCACCTAGGCCCCAGTCCTGTAGCTTCTTTCCTGATCATGTCTGTGTACAAAGGGCCAGGTGTTCCGTGTGGATAATCTTGAGTTGTGTGGCATCCAACATCAAAGGACTGTGACTGGTGAGGACCTTCTTGTAGGTGGGGGTTCTCTGCAGAGTCCCACGTTGGTGCAGAGCAATAGAGGCACATCCAATGGGTAGGACCAAGTTGGCTTTTATAACAGACTAACTCACTCTCAAGATAACCCATTCATTCATTCATTCATTAATCCATGAAAGGATCTTAAAGGTCCCCACTCCTTAAAACCTCACATTGGGGATTACATTTCAGCATGATTTTGTGAAAATGTCCAAATCATGGCAGGAGCCTAGAAGAGGGGAGGGAAGGTGGTGGGGCAGGGGCAGCATGGCAGAAGAGCAGGTAGTAGGCAGGGGGAGACCCTGGGCTTGACTGAGAAAGTTAAGAGCCCCATACACATTTTTGGCAAGAGATAGGGTGATTTGCATAGAGAATGGCACAACCACATCCACATCTGTGATTTAAGGAATAATTAGTGGCAGTAGATCCCTAGAGAGGCAGGAGGAACCTGGGAGGCTGCAGATAGATGGGGCGGATCTGAAGGACTAGTTAAGAAGGAATCAAGGGCAGTGACCCCAAAAGGAAGGAAAGAGAGGCAGGCCAGCAAGGCAGGGATGGACAGCAAGTGCCAAATGAGGACACAGCCATGAAGCAATTCCAGCGATCGGCTCCATTCAAACTGTGGTTTCCACACTCACTGGCTGTGACCACAAATTAAGCAACAGATTGCAGGCTCCAAGGCTGCACTACAGCTGTGACCCCCCACCTCTGCCTGGGGGTCCCCTCCCATGCACACCCAAGCCACTCAGCTCCAGGGGGTACACAGGGTGTGGTCCATGGAAGGGGGCCCCAGCCTTGGGACTCAGAGAAGTATCTACCAGCCTCCCCAGCAGGTTCCTCCTGGCCGGGGGCCAGCCCCACCCCAGGTGTGTGGAAACATGCAGAGCTGTGTTGTAATCCATTTCTTTGGCAATGATAACCAGAGAAGGCAGGGAGAGGATGGAGGACAGAAGATGAATGGCCTGCTGCACTAGCACGCCCTTGTCACAGGAGGAGGGAACGCTGCAGATGCCCACAACCCTGAAGCCCCTTATGCAAGACAAGAAGCCTCTGCAGAGAACTCACTCGCCATGAGTCATGAGGGCTCTGTGGGGCTCCCAGATGGGTCCCAGGAGAGGAGCCTAAGGAAGGAAGGTGAGCTTCGCAGTGTGGGATGTGGAGCTCACAGACTGCAGGGGGCCTGTGTACTGGGCCCAGAGAGAGCCACGAGGACATAGGGGCAGGAAGGAGGAGCAAGGACTGAGCGCAGAGGAATACAGATCCACAGCCTGCTCCTCCAAGTGTGGCTTAAACCTTAAAAACTTTTACAAGCCAAGGGCGGTGGCGCACACCTGTAACCTCAGCACTCAAGAAGCTGAGGCCGGAGGATTGCTGTGAGTTCGAGGCCAGCCTAGGCTATAGTGAGTCCAAGGCCAGCCTGAACTGCATAGCAAGATCCTGTCTCAAAAAAAA